TATGTGGAGACTTGGATGTGTTGTGCGTAATAAAATGTTGGTATCATGAACATTCAGTGCATGTATGGTTTGGGTGCAAGCTTGTGGTAATTTAGTTGTGTATATAGCAGAATAACTTGAAGGTCGTGGCTTAGTAATTGCAGCATAGATTTGTGTATGCGTGGAAGAATTGTACCTGGCATGAGGTGTGTTTGTGACTCGCAACTTACTGTGTGGTGCATGTGAAGTATGATGTTGTTGAAAAAGTCATGACTGGAGAAAATGTTGGTTTGGCAAATTGGTTTGGCTATTAGGATTGGGCTTTACTACATTTTTGGTATTTTTGTATAATACTTCTTGTAATATGGACTTAATAACATAAACCTTTATTGTATAAATGAATTTTTGTAGACTTTTTCTGTATGAATGTGGACCTTTTTATTTTTACAATTCATGGGCTATGGATGAACCTTGATAAATTCATGTACCATTTTTCTTGATAATGGACTTTCCTTATTATTGACACACCCTCCAAATTGCCTTTGATCAATTCTTGAGTTTTGACTTATTCTTAAATCAATTCTTGAGAAATGACTAAATATAAATTAATCTTGACTTCCATATGTGATCAAAAGAACTTCCTTAGCTAAAGTGCACACTTGTTGAATTTTTATGTAAAGTGAATGGAACTTTGAATCAATTCCCGACAAGAAATCCACCATAAATCAATCTTGAATTTTGCATGAATTGGATCACTGAATTAAAGTAGCTCTTGAGTTAACCTTGATTTGAGACCTTGAATCAATGAATCCAATAAATCAAACCCTTCATAATGAATCAAATGAGTGAGAAAGTGCCTTGAAATTAGATTAAGATGACTTAAAATATGAAATGCATTATCCAAAACCCTGATTGAAAATGAAATGGTCCTTGATGATCCTTAACCATGAGGCACTGATAACTTGACACGACCTAACAACCTGGTCCATGCACAACTGACTTGAATTGGCACAAAACCCTAATTGGAACTTCAGACACACACCACTTGAATCATGCACACTCTGGCCTTAATCATGAAGCAAACTCTTGTCTGACCAAGATTAGGTCAAAACCAGATGAACTTCAATCCATATTGCACACACTTCTGACATGATAACTTTGAATGAATCTCGGACTTAGGCAACAAGAAAATAAAAGCAGAAATAACATATTTTTGATTTTTGAATAATGGTTAGTAGATGAAGACACTAGTGAAATTAATATACAGGTAGGACAAATTTGGGGTATGACACTATTTACTCAAACCTTTATTGTTTTTCACTGTCGTGAAAAACCTTTTAGAATTAAAATTAAAAACCAAATCCAGAGAAATGATTTATGAAAAGGTTTACGCCAATTTATTACCGAATCTCGTCGAAACGTCGGTCCTCACATACTGGACTCAAGAAATTTGGTCGGACATGGTTGCGAAAATAAATAAACAATTTTGGATTTTCAAATTAAACGAAGATATAACAAGCAGTTTAAAATAATTAAAGCGATGTTTCCAAAATAAAGTAAAGTGATAAAAGCTTAAAACAATAACAACGGTAGAATTTGTAAAAAAGAATATAAATGGTGGAAGATAAAAGAAGCAGAATTATAAATGGCAGAAAATAAAGGTAGGAAAATAAATTGCGATAAAGGTAAATAAACCTGAAATAAAAACTGGAATGTAAAACTAAATTAAGAACAAATAATGGCAGAAAGATTGTTTAATTCAAGTGTTACATAATTTATAAGCCTAAACACTAATGGTGTAGTAGTTCCACGATGTGAGAAAGCTACTACTTTTACAATGGTGGTTTCTGCTTAAAACTATGAAAGGTAAAAATTGCACAAAACTTGGATGCCAAATTCCACGTTAAACTTATAATATATAGTGTTATGAAGCTAAAATACTTATGTCAAAGGAGTGAGCATCGTGGGAGTAAATATGGGAGAGTGGGAGTGGGATGAACCAAGTTAGTTCCTAGTTTTTCTGCACTGTGCATCTGGGGCGAATGCCGTAGACCCTAAAATGTGGAAGGCGTGGCTCTGAGGTCCATGGCGAATGCCATGAGGCCCATGGAAAACGCCATGCACCAGAAAATGGTAAATTTTTCACTTTTTCTTCATTTCCTTGCTATTTTCCCAGTTTTCTTGCATGGACGCTCTTATTTGACAAATACCTGAAACACATATATAATACGTCATAATACAACAAAAAACAAGTAAAACGACACTAAATTGCATGTGAATCAGGTCGGAGTATACGACATATTTTCGCGTTAGCAAACTCCCCCACACTTAAACCTTTGCTTGTCCTCAAGCAAACTGCTACACATATGAAAAATCTTTATAAAACTTTGCAGCAGGTAATATCAAGACTCATGAAAAACAATGCATACAAATACTCATTCTGAGCTACAAGCTCCACTTTGGCTAAGATTGTTTCGGTAGGTACTTGTTTACACACTAAGGATATCGTAGGAACACAATTCTGCAATTGTGCGTTCCTAAGCCTCCCTCCTATACAAACCAATCTGAATCATGTTATAATACCCCAAATTTTATCCTTAGATTAGTCGATTCATGTCGCATCACATCTCATTTTTGCATAACATATTTGACCAACCACTAACGGGTTGCATAGTTTGTTGTTTTTGCAGGAGAATCACATCTGGTGCATTTTAACTGTTGAGGGGCGAAATGGTCATTTATTCACTGTTTGCTGACAGTTTAGGAAGCAGAGCCATCGTCGGGAATCCATCAAACGATTAGGGTTTTCGTTTCTGAGTTCCATGTTTTGGGCTGATTATTTTGAGACGTCAGTGGTTTGGTTCAAAGTCGTGCGAGAATACACTCTGCGGAATTTATTTTAACACGACCTATTTTCCTGCTATCTGCCAGTCAAATTTTAAAGGGAAAGCAGTGGAAGTTTCGACCCGAGTCTAGAGTTACTATACCTGTTTGATTGTGATTTTTGGCCGAATGAGTTCAGGACATTGGATTTAGTTATCAGAGACACAAATTGAATTTTTAGTGCGGAGTTTAGTTTTGTTTTACTGTTAATCGGATTTCTCTGCTTTTTTGTTGTTTTACTTCATTCAAGGCCGGTACCGCTTCTATCACAAGGCACGATTTAATTTGGGGAAATATTTGACTGGAATTAAATGTTATGTCAGTTTTGGGTGAAGCAGCATGTGCTGGAATGACATAGTTGATTCGGATATTCATTTTGGGATTTATTCGTATTGATTTTACATGGGGAATTTAGCCCGCTTGTTTAAAGTTTAATCGGTTAAATTTTAATCAGTTGAGTTTATTCAGAGGTAATCAATCATGTGGATTTAATAGGATGTTTTGGTTTAAAGATTTTCACCCGATTTGCGATATAATAGTGGAAGAATAATCAGACAAGTGTTTTGAAGAAAAATAATGAGAATTTTGACACTTTGACATCTAACACAACTCGACACACGCACTAGACTAATTTCAACACATCCTTATTTTCGTCGAGTTTATACTTACTTTGACACAATGAATTACATTTTTAACAACTATTTCACACAAATTAAGAAAAAGAAACAATTGAAAGAGAGAATGATATTTTTACACAAACAAAAAATAATATTAATTAGAGTATAAAATTTAAAAAAATATATTAAAAATTAAAATAGATCATTCTTTAATTTCAAATGAGCTACTCTTTATAGAACAGATAGAATATATTAAGCACAAAATTCAAAATATATATTTTTAACATTTATTTTAAAATAAATATTTTTTAAAGTTGTCGCACATAAATTAAAAACTATAACTAGTGGAAGAATAAGTAGTATAACAATTTTACAAAACTTTCCTTAGTTGTTACTATTAATTACACATGAATTGTCTTAAATATAGAGTAAAATTTAGTATTTTGAAAATAGTGCAAGCAGTATTAATTAGGGATAAAATTGGTACAAATATATTAATATTCATTAAAAAAAAGTAAAAGAGACACTTGTTTTAAGACAATTTTTTTTTATTAAAAAGACAATTTTTTTTTATTAAAAAGACAATTATTTTAAAACAGAAAAAATAAAATCAATCAAATGGTGAAATTAATGAATAATCTAAAGGTATCTTAAAGCCTGCACTCTCTCTTTCTTCCCTAACTTCCTCTTAAAAAAAAGCTAGATTACATCGTTCCTTGTGATACAAGCTAGGGTTTCTACTTTCAATTCCATTCTTGTTACACAAACTTTCAAAACACACACACTTATCCCATTTCTATAAGGTACCAATTATCTACATTTTTTCTTCCTTTTTCGTCCTAAATTCCAATTCTTGTTTCAGCTTTCAATTTACATTTAATCAAATCGTTGTTTCTGAACAATCAAAATTCAATTTTGTTTGTTAAATTGGATAATCAAATTAAGCATGTGTGTCAAAATATGATTGGATTCAATTGAATATTCTTTTATTACTAATATTATTATATGCTTATATTTTATAACTATTAGGTATTATTAGCTGTATTTCAAAGTTCTGATTTTTTATTTTATTTTTTTATTTTGTATTTGATTCATTTTTTTTATTCCGTTTTTTTAATGATAATTGATATGTTTATTTAGTGTATATACCTTTTCTAGAATATGTGTTTATTTTAAGAATATGTGCTGACTATGATCTGTAATAATGTCAATCTATTTTGATGGCAGATAATAGAAAAACAGGTAACAATGAACTCTGTTTGCTGTTTTGCTTGAAATTCAATGCTAATGATTTTATCTTTTATTTTGATTGTTAATTTTTAGTTGTTAGCAACAGAATCACTTTTTAGTTGTTGAGATTTGAGTTTTTTTAAGACATTTCTTTAGCCATTTTTTTCCCTTTTTAGATTGGTAGTGGATGAGTAATTGTTTTGATAGGTTCATCTAACAACAGATTACTGCTGATTTGAGAAAAGTCTGTGCAAGTTTGTTCTTTGTGAAAGTTCGATTCGCCGTGAATGAATGGACATGGCTTTTTCCCATCTTTCGTGGTGGTTGTCGGGTAGAAAACATGGAAAACAAATATCAAAAGTTTATTCTGTCATAAGAGACTTGGATGTTTTGAGATTTCCGGAGGAAATCGTGCCTTCCTCTCCAAGAAAGTTGAAGCGTAGGGAAGAGGGGAAAGTTGATAAGGAATGTGAATTTGTTATCGTCCCGTCTGACGGAGGATACATTTCTGACGTTGAATCCGTTGATTCTGATTGGTCGATTGGCTGGATGGAGCCTCATGGAACCGGATTCTCTCGTGATAACGATGAAAGTCATGAATCAGATCACAGTTTCGCTGTGCTTGTTCCTTGTTATGGAAGCAACTATGGCGCCATGTTGGAAGAGGGTCCTAAAAACAACTTATTAAACAATGTTGGAAACTTCTCGGATGGTAAGAATACTTTTGCTATTATTTTTAATACCTACCCGATGAAAGACCAGATACATTGATTATTTAATAAATCTAAAAATAATTTTTCTCGTATAAATAAACGAGACAAATTATTATATTTTTCTTGGTGGATAAAATATTAATCTTTATGATTCCTTTGTTTTCTGCAGAGAGCAAGAAATATGTGGAAAATTGGATATCTTCACTTCCTAATAGCTGATGCAAGAACATTTAAAGCTATGTTTCTGCAGTATAGAGAGACTCTGCAAGTGTTGATTTGTTAAAAAGTTTATTTATTATTTTTAGCAATAAACAGTTGTAGACTCTAAATCATAGAGGAGAAAATAATATGGACAAAATCTTTATTGTAAATATATATGTATGTAGATATGAAATTTGATGTCTATGCACATATATTTGTACATATATAAAATGTATATTAAATAAAATTAATATAATTTAATGTAATCATGTTTAAATTTTATAATTAATGTAAAACAAAATTTCATAAAAATTAATTATTAATAATTAATCTATTCTTTTTCTGAGTTCTCTAAAGATAGATATTTAGGCTCAATTTTTATCCAAAATCTCCTGCTCTAAATTTTTCCTTTTTTTTTAATTTAAATAAGTGATTTCACATGTATTTTAATTTTTTTTAGTAATTTCTTTGTCACGTGTTGGTCGTCGTCCTATCACGACATTATTTTGTTTTTCCGTTTTAATACGGTGTTTGTTCGGGTCATTAGTTTCAATTGAATTTATTCGCAAATTTATTATTTTCAGTTTATAACTATTTTAAATTAGTAATATTCGATATATTTGAACAAATCAATGTAGTAAAGAAAAATTAATTTAATCCAAATATGAAAATTATAAATTTGTGAGGTTTGTGTAGTTGGAAAATTCTGCAACAAATTTTTTTGGTTGCGAAAGGATCTAATGAAACAGATACCTAAGATTGTGGCGAAGTATACTCCTCTTCATATCTACCCCACAACAAACCATTTTTGTCAAACATTGTTTTTCTTTGCAACAACCACATCATTGAAATTACACCTTTTTTGTTTTTTCATATTCATTTTTCTCATCTTGTTGGTTTTATTTATCTTTAAAATTGATCAAGGTTTTACCTTAATGGGTTGAATGTGTTTGATTGTGATATAACACAAAGATAAAGATGTTGCGAAGAGCTGCAACCAATGCATATTCATGGTGGTGGGTTAGCCACATTAGAACAAAACAATCAAAATGGCTCGACCAAAGCCTCCAAGGTATGTATGTTTATGTCTTTTTCTACGCAATATTTCGTCTTGATTTTGATTTCTTAGCTACTTTTGCTTAGATGTCGAAACAGCTATTCAAATATGTTATCGAATTTGATTCAAACCTCTTGAGCAAAGGCTCGGATTCGACTCTTGTGGTTTGTCATGTCGTCATGTTCTTCAAATAACACGAACCACCTTCTCATTTGCTATCCGGATTGTCTCCTGTGTCAAAATATCATATAGTCACTGCTTTCATAGATATCAGCCGTTAGATTAAACGGCCGAAATCAACTGTATGCAGTAACTGCATGGTATTTCCTATGCATTCTAATAGAAATCTAAATATCTGACCTTAACAATTTTAATCAATCATTTGCTTTAGAAGAAAAATTCAATCCCAATGACATACTACCCAAAATATTTGACAGATATGGAGGAGATAGTAGCTGAAACGCTCAAAATCATCGATGATAGCGGCGACTCGTTTGCCCAAAGGGCTGAAATGTACTACAGAAAAAGACCAGAACTGATCAATTTTGTGGAAGAAGCCTTTAGAGCATATAGAGCATTAGCAGAGAAATATGATCATTTGTCAAAGGAACTCCAAAGCGCGAATCGCACAATTGCCACTGTCTTCCCGGAACAAGTCCATTACAGAATAGACGAAGAAGAATTCGAGGACGCAGAAAGCGGTTTCTATGAAACAATTTCATCATCTCCTAACACTAATAACCAAACAGAAAAACAATGTAACATCCCTAAACCTCCGAGTATCCCGAAGAAAGTTTTTCGAAGTCAGTCTATGCTGCTCTCACGAAAAGGAACAATTAAAAGGAGTTTAAGCACCGCAAAATCTGTTTCAAATTTACCAGTTCAAAGTTCAGGTTTGAGTGAGGTTGAAGCATTAGCCGAAATAGACAAGCTTCAGAAAGATATTTTGGCTATGCAGACTGAGAAAGAGTTTGTAAGGAGTTCGTATGAACATTCCTATGAAAAGTATTGGGAAATCGAAGACAAAATTACCGGAATGCAAAAAAGAGTTTACGCCTTGCAAGATGAATTCAGCATTAGTACCGTCATTGAAGATAACGAAGCACGGGCTTTAATGGCCGCCACAGCTTTAAATTCATGTAAAGAAACTCTGAATAAGTTGAAAGAAGTACAATCACAATCATCCGAAGAAGCTAGAGAAGCATACCAAAAAGTTAAGGAAGCACATTACAAATTTGAAAACCTTAGAGGTAACTTCATTTCCAAGCAAACAAATCCGCAAGACGAAGAAACAGATTCAAAAAGAAAAGATGAAGAAGAGATAGTACTTAGCTTGGAAGAAGATACACTTGAGCATGATATAGGGATGTTGCAAGAACGGATTAAGGAAAAGCTCGAGGAGGAAGATTCCGGAAACTCGCTTACGATGAAGAAAGTTGCAAAGATGATTGATGAGCTTGTAAGTAAGGTAGTAACTTTTGAAACAAAAGTTAATTCTCATAATGGATTGGTAAAGAGATTGATATCAGAAGCTGATGAACTTCAAACAAATGTACAAACCTTAGAAGAGGATAACGAAGTGCTTATTGAAGATTCGGAAAACAGTAACAAGAGGATGAAAGAATTGGAAGATGAATTGAAGAGAGTTAAAACTCTCAACCAAAGTGTCAAAAGCCAAGATAGTAATCTCCAAACACATTTTCACGAAGCTAGTTTTAATCTCGAGCATCTTTCCGGTAGATTGAAAAATGTGAAGCTCGACGAGGAAGAGGAGAATTCGGTACTTAACAAGAACACAAGTTTTTCTGATGGAAAACTAAGTGATGATTTAGAAATCGTGAATGATGTCATGATAACAAATGCGGAGAAGGAAGATCATGATGCAAATATTGATGAAGTCGTAAACAAAGATGATAAGACTGAAGAGATGCCGGAGCTAACAGGGCAGGATAAGGATGGTTTGTCTGAGACCACGAGTAACGTTGAAGTCAAACCACTTGATTTGGAACCTGAAGAGGAAAAAGATCAAACTAACTTGAATCAGATGCTTGTAAATGGATCAGATGACAGAGAAAAGATTATGATGGAAGAGTACACATCAGTTTTGAAGAACTATAACGATGTATCAGACAAGCTCAACAACGTGGAAAACAAAAATCGGAACAGCATTTTCGAATTGTCACTTCAGGTAAAATGTCTTGCTTAACATATATAGATATACTTTTTAGAATGACTATCGGAAATAAGTTAATAAGTTATCTGCAGGTAAGGGAATTAAAGAATGCAGTTGCCACTAAGGATGAAGAGATACACATTTTAAATAAGAAGTTAACATCTTCAGAACCAAATTCGGATGAAAGTCCTCGCACCACTCTATCTGAAGAAGCGCCTCTTGGAAACGCGGATCAAGGAGATAACACGCAGGGTCCTGAAACTCTATCTTCAGATATAGCTAGCACTTCTGTTGAAGAGCAACAGCAAGCCGTTGAAAACACGGGAGACATCGAAGAGTCGTCTGTTGGAAGAACAAGATTAATTATTGTGAGAGAAAAACATATTGACAAGCCACATTCTCTTTCACCTTTAGAAAGGAAACTTCGTTTGGCAATCGATGATTTACTCGAGGAGAATTTAGAGTTTTGGTTAAGGTTCAGCACTTCGGTTCATCAGGTTCAACAGTTCCAAAAATCTTTACTAGACTTAAAAGCAGAACTAAGAAAAACAAAGTATAATAACTTTTTCTCGGAAAGCAAGATTTCGTCAAAAGTTATACAATCAGAAATAAAACCAATATTTATGCATTTGAGAGAAATAAGAACCGAGTTATCACTGTGGCTAGAACACAATGAAGTGTTGCAGGATGATTTACAAGCTAGACATCCATCATTGTGCAGCTTACAAGATGAAATAGCAAGTGCAGCGAATCCAGATTCGGCGTCGTCGAAGAGAGTTGAACTAAGCGAGTATCAAGCTGCAAAGTTTCAAGGCGAAGTTCTCAACATGAAACAAGAGAGCAACAAGGTTTCTAGTGAACTACAAGAAGGTTTGAGTTATGTAAGTGGACTTAAATATGAAGTTGAGAAAATACTTGAAGAATTGAGTCAAATAATGGGAGTTAACAATCCTGATCACATGAAACGTTCATCGAGTCGCGCTAAATTACCTTTGAAGTCTTTCTTGTTTGGAATCAAGTTGAGGAAACAAAAACAATCAATGTTTGCATGTGTTAATCCAACACTGCAGAGACAATACAGTGATATTACAGCAGCCAATGATGCACCAATATAGAGACATGTTATCAACTTTATATTCTGATTCTGAATTCGATTATTTCTTCTTCTTTTGAGATTATTTATGTTATGCTTCAAATAGTGAGAATGCTAAGATATAGAAAGTTCTCCTATGTATAAAGCATGTCAGCACTTACATGTGTGTATATGTACTAAGTCAGAAAATATGGAAGATTCTTTTTTTTTTTTCTAAAAATGCTCATGATTTTTCAAATGTTTTGATAATTCTTCAGTTATCTTCTAGTAGTAGATAGGTACAAACTTGATGTTTATGAGTAAGCTATTGTCAAAATTCATTTTCTTGAAAAATGATTTGTATGTTGAAAATTAAATAGATATTTTGATTAACTTTTGAAAAAGTTATTACTTTTAATAGAAAGAAGAGAAAAACATAATTTATTATGAAGGTACTTTTTCTATCTTATTAATAAAAAAACTATTTTAACATATATAATTTTCAACCTAAATGTTTTTTCAATTATAGTTTATCTTTTTTAAATAGGCTAAGTTTACATTTGATCAAATTCCGAATAATATATTATTCAATATTATATTTATATAAAACCTTACTATATATATATATATATATATATATATATATATATATATATATATATATATATTTATATATATATATATATAAATATATATATATATATATATATATATAAATATATATATATATATATATATATATATATATATATATATATATATATATATATATATATATAAATATATATATATATATATATATATTTATATATATATATATATATATATATATATATATATATATATATATATATTTATATATATATATATATATATATATATATATATATATATATATATATATATATATATAAAAGTAATATGTAACCAGGAGAAAAAAATGTTTAGAAATCATATATTATACACCGAGTATAACAATTTATATATGCTTCTTTTTCTTAGTCAGCAAGTTTTATGGTATTCACTCTAAAGTAAAAAAAAAAATAGAATAATAGCAAAGTGTGCAAGTTCTACAAAAATCGATCTTCCTAGATTTGACAGAATCACCCTAATTTGTGCTTGAACCGAATTTCTAAGGGTTATTTCCCACTTGTTTTTAAACATAAAAAAAAGGGCAGTTTAACCGTTTATTGGCTAACCGTCAAAAGGACAGTTATTAGTATCTTCTAAAAACACACATCTATACAAATCCTTTACCACTCCTACTATAAAAATCTGCAGGTCACGAATCCATAATTTAAAAATTACAAAAATTGCAAAACAATAATGTAAGCATTATGTATATTTGCCTAAAATCACTAGATACCACTACCAGTTTTCAATTTTTACAAAGCACTTTCTAACCTTGGTGGCATTCATCTTGTTTTGACAAATTTCCGAGTTTCTCATTCCCGCTTTGATGGTTAGTTAGAGCTTCCATTAACAGAATTTGTCTTCTTGTCTTGATTTTGAACTTGACTTTCCGTGTTCAAATTGCTATTTCCATTCCCAGTGGCTTTGAGGATAAAAGTTGAATTCTTAACACTTCCTTGCTCTTCCCAACCTCCTGGATTTTGTGACACTGCTTTGTGTTCCAAAACTTTCACGCTAGGTGTGCTTTTCGCTTTATCTAAATCTAGCCCCACTTTATTCTGTTTGTTATCTATCTGGCTCTGAATAATTAATGTAGAAGCTCCGGTTTCTTTCACCTTCTCTTTTGGGGTGGAGCCAGGATCAGAAACTCTTTTTTCCTCATCTTTCATAGAGGTAACATGTTTATCCTGTTGAGACAACATATATACTAAACAATTAAGCAAAGAACTATCCAATTTTAGGGAAAAAGATTTTAATATATGAATTGCATGACACGAAAAATAGAAAAGATACAGTTGAATGAACCTTTTGGTCAGAAGGTAAACCAGAAGAAATGGATGTCTTTGTCAAAGAACTACCAGCAGGCACAGTGTGTACTACATTTTTCTCTATCACCTTCTCTTTTGGTGTGGAGCCAGGATCAGAAACTCTTTTTTCTTGTTCTTTCACAGAGGTAACATTTGAATGAACCTTTTGGTTAGAAGGCAAACCAGTAGAAATGGATGTCTTTGCCGTAGAACTACCAGCAGGGACCGAATGTACCACATTTTTCGTTTGAGAAACCTTAATTTGTGATGAAACATTTGGTACTGCATTTGATTGAGAAACAGTTTGTGCTCCAGAGTGAATAATGGCAGTTTTTAACTCCCGGGCCGAAATTGCGGCATTTGGTACTGCATTTGATCGTGAAACAGTTTGTGCTCCAGAGTGAATATTGGCAGGTTTTAACTGGCGAGCTGAAATTGCAGCATTTGGTACTCCATTTGATCGTGAAACAGTTTGTGCTCCAGAGTGAATAAAACCAGGTTTTAACGCGTGGGTTGTTGCCGCATTTGGTACTGCATTTGATCGTGAAACAGTTTGTGCTCCAGAGTGAACAACAGCAGGTTTTAACCCGTGGGTGGTTGTCGCATTTGGTACTGCATTTGGTCGTGAAACAGTTTGTGCTCCAGAGTGAATAACGGCAGGTTTTAACCCGTGGGTTGTTGCCACATTTGGTACTGCATTTGATCGTGAAACAGTCTGTGCTGTAATGGCAGGTTTTAGCTCGCGAGCTGAAATTGCAGCATTTGGTACTGCATTTGATCGTGAAACAGTCTGTGCTCCAGAGTGAATAATGGCAGGTTTTAACTCACGAGCTGAAATTGCAGCATTTGGTACTGCATTTGATTGTGAAAAAGTTTGTGCTCCAGAGTGAATATTGGCAGGTTTTATCTCACGAGCAGAGCTTGCAATACATCTTGAGACAGGATTTTCAGAGGTGGCTGTGGGTTTCGCAGGGGAACCACAAGCTTGTTGAGATGGACGCTGAAGGGGTACAGAACTACGAATTGTGGAGACTTGCGTCGTATTACGAGACTGCACTTGATTATTAATTGACATGGATGTCCTACCTGCAACCGTTAAAGTTATTCAGATACCCACACAACACATTTTTTAAAAGATTTGAGTGAACATTTAATATCGTGGCAAGGTACACAAGTTATAGTAGAAAAGTAATACTATTTGATGGGATCGAGAGAACGGGAAAGACGCTGTGGTATTTTACTTCTGCACTGAACTGCAAGAAGTCCACCTGCAGGATGGTGACAGCAATGTGCTCTTTCAATGTTCTCCTATAATTATGCTTTCATATTACCGATAGCAAAATCCTTAGGTACATTCAATTGCAACAACAACTTAGCCTTTTACCACTACATGGATAAAGCTATATTGATAAGACAATGCGATAATTCTCTATAATGCATTAAATTTAGAGAAATATATCAAACAACCATAATACCATAAATGTACTAATAGTTTAAAGTTTTGAATTAATTATATAGCAAAAACATATCAAACCACCATAAAACCATAAATGTCCGAATAGTTTAAAGTTTTTCAAATTGATTATATAGCAAACATAGATCGAACCACCATAATAAAATATCATACTCAAAGATATAATGGAGAAAAAAAGACAGAATTTGAAGTTCATTACCCATTGCTAAATCAATTACGCTGATTTTAAATGAATTATAATTATTTATTTTTTATTTATTATTACTATTATTTAACATAAAAAGATTTGTGATGTAAATAATTGTGAACACAATCATGTGATAAGAACAGTAGACAATAAAGGTACTGTTATAGTGTTTACTGTTTAGGCTTGTTTGTGAGGAAGATTTTATGAATGGATAAAAGTTGTTCAGAGCATAGGCAGTTGGATCCTGTAAAGAGATCTTTTGGTACAGGTTTTGTGGTATCTTTAGCAAGGGCAATTGAAAGATGTAAATTTTTATAATCTAATGGTGGTATTGAGTTGGATTCTGGTTCCCTGTGTAATGTTGAGCGAGATTCTCATTCCTGTGCAAGGTTGTCCATGGGGGATGGCAGTCCATGGTGGAGAGCCAAAATCCCGCCATACAGACCGCTTTACGGCGCCATTATTGCGGATTATGGCGGAAAAACCCACAATAGCGGCTGATATTTACCATTGCGGCGAGCCCAAAAACCACCATGTTTATCCGCCATAGCAGCCATGGCACCGCAATTTGATAACACTGTTCTTGTGCATGAGAAAATTCAGAAATGGAATCACTGGAGTTTAAAGAGTTGGGTGTTATCACATGTAATGTCGGATTGGACTCTTGGAATATTCTACGTTTGGTCAACCCTCGATTAAAGTTAGAGACTTAAAGTAAACAAGAAAAAAAGAAACAATAAACAAATATAACTAGCAAATTCTGTATTGGTTTAATATGACAACAAATAAAAATAAAGAGTAAAATGACAATTACCAGGATCAGTCATTCCAGGAGCAGTTAACTTTTTGAATGGCATGTCAAGGGCTAAATTTAAGGAGTGACGAGTTGCCAACTGTTCAGCAGTATACTGTGTGTTGGTGGTGGTCACAGTGGGTCCTGAATTGACGGTTCCTGAAGTGCCACTTCCGTCTTTCTTTCGTAAAGTGGTCCACCTCTGCGGGTATTTGGATAGACCATGACAATGCATAGTAATATTAATACTCAATTAACAATAAAGGTGAAATGAAAACAAAACAACTGGTACAAAAAACTGTACTTTCAAGTATATCAACTATAAACCTGAAACAAATATTCATTTTACTAGATTACACATTGCACATCTTATACATGTCAGAAGTTGATTAAAGAGCAGTACATGTAAAGCTCCGTTGCCGGGATTTGAACCCGGGAGAACTGGGTGATACCCAGACATCCTGACCTGACTAGATGACAACGGTTTAAAATAAATTTAGTGCCATCAGTCATCAGATTCCATTAAAATATAATATTTACAGAAAAACAAGGAATCGAGGAAGAGATACATTACACAGTGTACAGATATACACTATAAATGGTCAGCCTCAACAGGCACAACTGTAATAGTAGCACAGGCTAGAGTAAACTAGCCCAATAATAAATCGGGCTGGTATAGATCTGTCAAGAAGGCCGTGTTAGAAGAGAAAATTTGCATAATAAGACAGCTTTTTAGCATCCAAGTCAGCAAAAGCAACCCATTTATAGGAAATCATGGATTGTGACCTCCTATCAATAATTAACTTTAAATTATGCTTGCCAGTAGCATGGAAGATAAACCAGATGAATTTTGATAAATATTCATGGTTGGCAAATTGAATAGTTTAAAAGTATCAACCACAAAGAGAATGAGCATTCAACAATTTTAACTTATATTTCTGAATTCTAGGCCAGAGATTAAATCAACTACATATGGTTATATAATGCAGGATGTGAGGATATTTATAGTTCATCATTCTAATTGCCAAAGGGTACTGTTATAGGGCTACAACCATTAAGCAACCACACACTTAACACACTACAAAAAGTAATATAAAGGGAAAATTTTGTTACTGGTTTTAAATAAAGGAGGGATGATTTAGAAGAGAAAGTGGATTTGACATAACAATTGGAGTTGCTGCGTTGTGACGAAAAGGTCACTGGTTGACGTCGTCAAATAGACATCTTGTATATCTAAAGGAAGGCTCCAGGATTCCTCGCGGAAGAAGCTATTAACCAAAAGAAATAATGACAAAATTGTTGTCATACATGAAATATGCATGTGCATGCTGATAAGTGATATAATGAGATGGGAGTGGAGAATGTCACGTAATTCATAAACGTTTAGGGTAGAAAACCACCTGTGACAATTGTGTTGCACTTCTCTTGATAGGAAAGTTGTCTCCTTTTGCCATGTTTGCCCAATTCCCTTCACCCCATTTCTGAACAGCAGCCCGTAACTGATTGTCCTCTTCCTCTGACCATGCTTTTCTTTTCCTTTTGGAAGCCATGGAACCACCAACTGTTCCTTTGGTTTCTAAAGCATCTGAGGATGATACTGTTGGAAGTGTCTGTCTCTGAACAGTAACTGGAAACGTAATGCTTGTCTGTTCCATCAAATTAGAGGGCTGTGACATTTCCCTTTGAGTTCTAAATGAATGGCAAACTGGAAAATTTACAATCAATGGAGCCTCAATTGTTGAGCTACTAGGGGTAGATTCACTTAGCGTACGGGAAGCTATCATCACCTAATGATTAAACAACACCAAGAAACGCGATAGTCAAATTTGAAGAACAACAAATAGCACTAACAGAATGTAAAAGCATAGAAATCATAAAGGCTCTTAGGTATTCAACCAGCAGAAATGGACTTGATCAAAAATCATATTTTTTAGTAAAACCATCAGCAAATTAGTTTTAGCTGAAGTTTTCTATACTTTAGGATTTCGGCCCATTTTAGTCGGACCATATGCAACTTGACCCAATTTCTCCAATGAAACCTCCACTACTCTTCTAATGTGACCAAACCACCTTAGGCAAGTTTCTATTATCTTCTCCTTGATAGGTTCTAATCATATTCTTGTATACTTATCCTTTTCAACATCCTCGTTTTTGATACACTTTCTAAAAATAAGACAATTTGAGTAATGTGCCATAAATACTTTTTCATTTAACAGAGTCTAATAATATGATAATCAGATAAGTAAAATGTAACTAGCTAAATCATGAACAAAATTTTAAAATATTGAAATAGAATGTAATATTAGTATACCAACCTTCACACATGCTGAGCACTCTTGTGTAGATTCCGCACTTATAGAAGGTAATGGTTCCAGCTCATAATCGAGGTCACTGTCATCATCCTGAAAATAGGAATCCAAAAAGGCATTAATAATACAAGCACAATATCAATCCAAGAATTTATGAAACAAAAATTCAATTAAAAAAAAGAGGACTGCTGATTTAGCAAACCTAGTTGGAAATGGGAATGACAATTAGAAGAGTGGCTAAAGCAGCTTGTGACTAAAATAATATAGAGAATAGTGACAATATGCTTATCTTAAGCATGAGGAAAATCTTTAATCACATAAATTTTAACAGGCTTTGGATACCATGTTGAAATAAGCGAGACTAAGAGACATTTAAATTAAACCGTGTGTTGAATGTTGAATAGCACAGCAGAAGATGATTTATATAGGGAAAAGATACAGATCGTGGTATTAATTATATTGATATCCTATTCTATTCTTGATAGGTAGTAAAGTGCCACATAAGTACGGGTGTTAGTAAAGAGTTAGACCGTAAAATGTCACATAAGCATTGCCGACTGTAACTGTTTTGGAGACAGATACAAAGGACTTGGGTTAGGGTCTAATCTTATGAAATTAGTAATTGTATAAATGATTGTAATAAGAATATCATATTCACAATTGAAAATATTCAGAAACATCAATTAACTATTGCAACATCCCTACTTATGGATCCTGATCCAATAATAGCAAACACAAAAATCGAAATCCATCCAAACTATAGGAAAACTAGATCACAAGATGTCACTAAACAGATAGTGTTATGATTAAACATATCAATATAGAAAACAAAATAGAATAACACAGACCATAGGATCATCCGCTTCAAAATCTTCGGGCAAGGAATAACCATATGCCAAATGACGCCATAGCATCTGATATTCTCTCGCATTAGAAATACCAGATGAGGTTTTCTTCACCAATTCATCCCAATCAAATTTCTTCCAAGCAGGGTAATGTGATAATTCCTGAAGCACAGTAAACACGGTAGTTGGATCATACCTGCACAACACAAAAAATCAATCGAGTACAATCTAAAAAACAAACAAACAAACAAATCGATAGAGAAGATACCGTTGGGTGACAGTAACAGCTTCAATTTGGGAGAAGGTACGCTTCTTAGACTTCTTCTCTGGCATTGATAATCCTTGATTAAATCTCAATTTGGTAGAAAAATGGTTTCAGATGCCTATGTTGCAAAACCCTAAACCCTAAAGAGAGTGAAAACTGGAACGAGAAAAGATAATGATGATGATGAAACGAAACAGAGATTGAACAGTGTTGTAGAAGTATTACGAATCGAAAATAAAAGTCGATGATGGTGACAGTGAGACCGTTGAAGAAGGAGTGAAGATCAATACTCTCACTCTCTACTCGATGTGTTTGTTTGCCGCTCGGGGAATACCAAGGGATTTGGTAATTGGGTAAACAATACTGCAAGTTTCAAAACTTTTACGAAAACCAACCTAAATTTTTATTTTTAAAACAACCAATAAATAAAAAAGAGATAACGTTTTTAATTTATTTAAAATTTAATTTATTTAAAATTTAATTTATTTTTTGATTAAAATTATAGAGTGGTTGTGATAATAAAGAGAATAAAAGAAAATTTTGATTAATAAAAAATTATAATTGATTGTTTATAAAGTTAAATATTATATTTTTATCTATTTGAATTTTTTCCAAGTTTTAATTAAAGTGTGATTTTATTGAATTACTATTGCTACATACAATGGTAGTTGATTATTACCGGTATGTTCTAGAGAAAGATATAATATAAAAAAAGTTAAATATAATATGCTAAGGATAATATATTGAGAAAAAAACAATATTATCTTGAAAAGAATAGTAATAATTTTCAAATGTATTTTAATAAAATAATACTACTATACTAAAGAATTTTATTTATATATTTTTATCTTGAAAATAATAATCATTTTTAAATAGTTTTTACCTAAAATGATATTATAGTAAAGAGTTTAATCTTATATATATATATATATATATATATATATATATATATATATATATATATATATATATATATATATATATATATATATATATATATATATATATATATATATATATATATATATATATATATATATATATATATATATTGTTAGTGTATATATTTTTACATAATTATATAAAAATATATTTATGAATGATTGTGTATTTACAAATAATTAAAGTTTTATTGTGAAATTATAGTACAAATTATAAGAATATGATAATTTTGTGTTCTGTCTAAATTCAATGTTTAATACATAATAAAATAAAATTAATGTAAAATTTATTTTATCATAATTTTTTAATTAGAAATTTTATTTTAAATTTAAGTTGGATTAGAAAAAAACATTATATAATTAAAAAAATAACTTTATTAATGTAATAATTTAAAACATGTGTGTCTATAATCACATAAATAAATAAGTAAGTTGTTAATATATGGTACTGAAACATTTTCAAAGTGTGTACGATAGTACTATTAATAATTTTATGTTGGCAAATGTTACAATGAGATGCTCAGAAAATAAAAGACATTTTCACCCATGATGTGGCTAATGACATTCTTAAAGTACTGCTTGTGGGAGACGTGATTGAAGATAGTATGGTTTGGTAAGAAGAACAAAATGGAGTTTATGGTGTCAAATCTGCTTATCGGTTGTTGAGGAGAGTCCAAACAAATTGGTTACTTTATAGAGAGGAAGAGGACTATGGTAGCTTATGAAACATCAAAAGCTAAGCATTTGTTGGGGAGGATTTGTATAGGTTGTCTTCCAACCCTTGAAAAACTTTGTCAGCATTTTATTCAATGTACGCCAAATTGTCAATTGTGTGAGAATAAGGAGGAGGACGAGTGGCATGTCTTTTTTGGATGTGAAGCTACTAATCAATGTTGGAGGGCAGCAGGTTTTTTTCCTACTATTGAGTATTGTTTATAGAAGTTTAGTGATGCAAAGGCCCTTATTTTTTATATATGTAGTAAAGAAGATAGGAAAAACACATGTAGGGTTGTAGTGTTGATCTAAATGCTTTGGAATAATAGAAATAATGTGGTTTGGAATAATGAGAGAGAAGAGGAATCGAAGTTAGACATGCAAGCTTATCATACTTGGCATGATTGGTTTAAAGTTCAAGATAGCCATGAGAATGAAGGTGAAGTCCAACCCCACCAAATTAGATGGAACCCACCGAATGAAGGATAGGTGAAATGCAATGTGGATGCGATTTCATTAGGCAAAGAGGAACTACAAACAGTGGTTGGCGTGTTAGAGACTGATTGGGTAGATTCATTATGGGTGGCACCTCGTGGGATTCTGGTTCTTTCTCTACTATAGAAGCAAAAGTTATGGGCTTAAAAGAAGTGACCCAAGTAGCTACCGAGATGCAATTGGATTGTGTGACTTTTGAAAGCGATTCTCAATTGGTGGTTCATGCTACCCATGTCATCTATGGTGGAAACTCTGAGCTTAGTATTATTATTATATCGATTAAGAATTTATTACATTGTTTTCCCAACTTTAAAGTAAAGTTTGTTAAGCGCCAAGCAAATTCGGTTGCCCATTTGTTAGCAAAGGCGACCAATTTTTAGTCTAGGCGTAATAATTTTGATGTCATTCCTTTGTGTATTAAATTTCAGTTGATTAATGAATTGTGTTAAACTTGTTTGTTTCAACAATATATATATATATATATATATATATATATATATATATATATATATATATATATATATATATATATATATATATATATATATATATATATATATATATATATATATATATATATATATATATATATATATATATATATATATATATATATATATATATATATATATATATATATATATATATATATATATATATATATATATATATATATATATATATATATATATATATATATACATATACATACATACTGAAACAAAATATAATAGTGAAAATGTTACATGAGTACATAAGATCTCGCATACATATACCTCTAGATAAAATTCTACATATGCCCCATATTCCCATAGATATATCTTCGGACGCACTCTTTGCAGACTCAACAAAGATCATTCTAAGAGGCGTCCTATATAGTTAGTTTAATTTGTTTCGGAGATGCATCTCCAGAACAACTTCGTAGTTACATTTCAAGAAAAACACTAGAAACAAATTCAACTAAAAATGAACTTTCTAAAATGCAATTGACATTCATAACATGAAATGATCATTACAATGATGATTACAATAAAAAATTAAATATTATGTTTTCAATATCACGGTGGACGCTTGCATATCTTCATGATATCTTTGACCGATCTTTATAGCTTGCACTCAAACGGAACTTTCTCTTCGAAATCAAAATACATATTCCACATAGCCATAACATTTGCTCAAGTCTTGAGCTCAAATTTGTTGAACATGATGTTCAATTCATTGTCAATCGAAGGTAAATAGTACTCGAGCTTCACAATCTTTTGTTTGTCTCCGTAAGATAGGAGATAGTGGATTTCGTTTATGATATCTTCGAATGGTGAGATCAGTGAGCTTAAATATCCTCCCGGGTATAAAACCACCAGAGTATAAGACATTTGCGACATACCATCGGATGTTTATTTGTGACATTTTAGACATATTGAGTTTGTGTGAAATATATCACAAGAACAACTAAATTTATAGAAGACTAGTGCAATATGGATCACTCATTAACTGCTATATTGATTTCGGAAATACAATTCTGAAAGCGCCATATAATCTTGTTCTAGAGATGCATCTCCGGAACTTTTCCTGAACTATTTCCAAAACAGAACCATATAACAGACACTAACATTAAGACCAAATATGCATAAAGACTAAATATGAATAAAAAAGTGAATATATAACATTGTATTTATATTGAGATAAAAATATATACAATCATTTGTTCGGGTAAACAAGAAATCAAAACGAATCGAAACAAGTGTCATCGACTAAATCTATAGGTGGTACGAACTTTGTGCATTCGATTCTTTTTTCAATATTGTTCCATCTCTCGAATTCTTGCATCCTTTCTATGAAATGATCCGGCCACATCTTGACTATTGCGGTTGAATGAGTCGTCCACTTTGGTGATGTAAGTGGTATGGGACAACCTGGTTTCAAGTAAACTTGAACAAAATGACTTGATTTTGAAAGTCATCAAATACACATGATACGATCATTTGGATTTTGGGATGGTGCGGTGCACATTGGGAAAAAGGTTTTCGAAAAACCATAGCATGTAAGGTCAATGCACATCCTATCATAGGCACATGCTATTAGGTGATCCATTTTCGGAAATCTTATCCATTTTGACTCTGGTTCCAAACCGTTAAGGCAAAAAACAAGAGACCCATAAACCGCATTGAATTTTTCTTTATTTTCATACAATCGCGTGTACGATTCTTTATGCATCTTCAACTCTTGGATAAGTTGATATCGGACAAACGCGTGAATATCTTCTTCTTTTTCTAGTAAAGCCGATACGGCTAAGTAACCGCAATTTCTGTCCCCCACAACATCGACGATCCGCTCGATATATTTGTGCATAAAAACCAGCATCTCATTGTTGAAAAGTATATTTCCGGCAAATATTTTTAATATCGTATCCACAGAGATTGATGTTACTACCGCCGTTCTATAATTTTGATTGTTGTAAGTTCAAAAGGTATTCGAATTGTTTGTTTATGACTAAAGTATTCTTTTCACTTATAAGAAAATTAAGACAATAAAAATGGTTTTAGAATAAAATGTGGAGACCTTGTCAAGATTGAGTTTCATTATCTTTGTTCTTTATATGTTCTCAATATCACATGCATGCATTCAAACTCCATTGATAGTATTCAAGTGTCCTCTCAATAATATTTATGTTTAAATAAGATTGTGACAATTATTATATAAATCCTTAGACGATCTCTCCGTCTAACTATTGATATAATAATCTTGAATGTTTAGAACAAATAGAAAAGTAGTGAATAAATTTATCTCTACAATTTATTCTCTACTTGGAAAAATATCTTAGGTCAAGAATTAAACTATTTTTCTCAACAATAATTCAATACTGTTTTTTCAATGTAAAAAGAAAATATAATTCCTTATACCAAATGTAGTTTGTTACA